AAAATGAGGTTCGCCACTTCGCTCGTTGTGGGTCTTCTCGGCAGTATCCTCACCGAAGTCATTGGGTTCAGGTAGTTGCGACATCGCAGTTGTCTTCACTTTTACTGTGATCTGAGCTTTGACCACAGAGAAAACACATAACAACAAAATAAATAGGAATAAAAATCGGCAAGCACAAACGCCGTTGTTGCAGCTGGCAAGACACACCGCGTGAAGTATCGACTATATACATACATACATACACACACACGCACAGGAACATTCCGGGCCTCCCCGCATCCCACAACAAGGCAAGAGTGCTCCGCGCATAGTTCGTCAGCTTCGGTTGTTCCTTCACTTTCCCCCGACAAGCTCAACCCCGACAGAGGTGCTTGATAACGCCCGAGGGGAAAATAATGCACCAAGAAACGCAAGAGCAAAAAAAACACACACACACAGAGACAAGCAGAGTGCAAAGTTAGTTTGGAAGGCATCCCCCCTTTGGGCATGCTACAAGACACAGATCACTGGCAAGCGGGAAAAGCAAAAACAATAGTAATATTACAGCGAATCCAAAAACTCCTCGACATTGTCACCCACGGTATCGCTGGAAAGCAGAGCTTCCTCGGCCATCCTTGCGCGTTTTCTGGCGCCCCCGCCAACCACCTCGCCGTTGTTGCACCTTCTTCGCAAGCTGCTTGGCAACAACTGAATAGCCTTTGTTGGGGGGTTGTCCCTAACTGCAGCTTCTACGCGTGTGCGGTCAAAGAGCCCGTCACCATCGTCCGCGGAGGAGCTAGAAGCACTCGGCTCACGACATCGTGGGCCCAATTGAGGTTCCCGCCCTCCACCGGAGGCCGCACGAGTTCTCTGCTCGAGATCCCTCACCATTCGCCCAAGCAGCCTCTTCCGCGCGCCTTGCTGAGGCGTCAGAAACACGGCTCTGTTTAATGACCCCAGCTCCGTCTGCAGCCTCACGAGATCTGCCCGGTCGAGTCTTTCGTCCCACTTGCGTCTCTTTTCCACCCGCCGACGCTCCTCAATTTCCCTTTTCGACACACGAAAGCCGTGGCGACGACGCTCCTCCATCGTCGGTAACGGAACTCTAGCTCAGACCTTTTTGTTTTTCAAAAAAAAAAGCAGGAAAAGAAAATAATAATAAAAAGGCGCAAGAGCAGAAGCACGTCAAGGAATTGTAGGATGCATGTCTCGCATCATGAACTAAGAGGCGCACACAAACTAGCAAGAACCAAAAAACCATGAACTAAGGCGCGCACAAACTAACAACAACTAAAAAAAGGAAAACAAGAACTGTTCA